GACTGTAAGGGGAAGAAAACCCAACAGATCAAGAAATCCATTTAGTTCCTCATATATACAAAGGAGAAATAAAAATATGAAGTTGACTTATAGTACAAAGAAAGCATCAACAGTAGAAGGTAAAAGAAAGGAAGAGAACAAGGTGAGATATAAGAGGAATATTTTTTTGTACACATGCTGCATATTTAACCCCTATTAAAAAACAGCCAAATTAACAAGCCAGCACACTTTTTTTATAAATCATGTAACAATATAATATAATAACAAGAAAATAAAACAACAACGAAGATATATGTTCAAATAAAAAAATAAAGAGAAGAGAAAAGAAAACCCCTGCCTGCTTTTTCCCGAAGCGCCGCAAATAATCAAAACATAAAAATATAAAAAAGACAAATATGAAGAAGGTAGAGGAAGAGATAAACTAAGTCGAAAACAAAAAGGAGAATAAAATGGAAAAGAAGGCAAGAAAAGAAAGCAACACAAAAACAGGATGAAGCAAGCTGTGATTGAAGTTGCGCAACAAGAATAAAATCGAAGAAAACCCCAATGACACGAAAAAGCAAAAGAGATGATAACAACAGAAAAGTAAAAAGTGAATTTGTTGCACATGGGATGGAAAGTTCCACACTGAGTATTATGAACCATTTTTATAACTTTGTCTTCCTTTCCCATTTATTTTCCTGTTCCTCATTCTTATTTCATCCCCCTCCTCTTTATTTGTTCCGTCTGTTTTTTTGAGGTCTGTTTCCCTACCTAGAACACACCAGACGTGACGCGAGCAGCTTCCATGGCGTGTCGGACGGGGAAATGGCCTAGTATTTCCGCCGGGAGGGAAAAGTGTCGCAAATTTGTACTGTATGTTCCAGTGGCAAATAGAAAAAGGCGTGCGCGTTGCGTTGCATTGCATTTGCGCTTTTCAGTCTGCGGTGGTGGGTGGTGCTGGCGGGCGCCGCAGAGTTTGGCGGTTCGTATAATAAAAAAAAAAAATTAAAAAAAAAGGCAAGTCGAATTGCGCCTGCTGGGGCCCAAACCAAGCCAAGTCAAAAGAAGAAAAAATAAAAATAATGTCACATTTCCGTTCCCTTATTATGATTATGATTACTTATCATTATTGTTGATGTTGTTGAGGTTGTCGTGGCTGGTCGTTGTTAGTAGGCTGGTCGATCAGCGAGATTTCCTGCCTTTTCTTGCGTATCGATGTGCCAGACAACATAATTAGGTAATCCGATGACTTGATAGCCCGCCCGTTTGGCCATTTTGGCAAACCCTTCCGTTTCGGCTTGGTTTTCGAAGGCGTAGCATGGAAAGTTGATGCCTGGATGGGGTTTTTAGGCGTTATTAGAATCAATATCGTAATTAATAGAGCAGAGCGTGCAGCAAAACGGAGAAAGAAGAGAACAAAGCCTACCAGCTCTATGCACATCGGCTTTGACAAGTATATTGACGCCTCCAACGCCATCCAATTCGACTTCCTCATCTTTGTTGTTTCTCCAGTCGCCCATTTTGGCCAGGTATTCGCGCCCAGTATCGAACTCCTTATAGCCCTCTACTAGGATGGTGTCTTTATCAAGACTTGCAGCGAGCTTCAAGCCTTTGTCACTTTCTTTCCAGGAATTGTAGTCAACTAGAGTAATCCCTCGTCAGCGAAAATCAAGAACCAATTGCACATGGATCGAAAAGAGATCTAACTAAAATCAGAAGCAATTACGTACATCTGCCTTCGATATCGCGGCCATTCTCGTACCGGTGGAACCAGATATCTGTAGCTCCATGTTAATTGTTATGCCTCATTGACCAGCAAACAAAAATGGGCATAACTTACTGGGAACAAGAATATCCTTGTCATGTGCGACGAAATCCTCGATAATTCTCTTCGGGCTATCAACGATATCGACATCGCGCCAATAAACCCACGAATGATGTGGG